CCCGCATGTCGATGTGTTCACCAGCCAGAAAAGTCCACTGAGTTTTTACTGGGTTTTCATTATCTAGGCGTGATCGACTGAATCTTTGACCATGTTTTGGAACTCTGTCTACAGCTCCTCCTGTCTCTTGAGGTCAAGTGGCTGAAAGACCTAGCCCTCTAATCACATATATGGTCTTTCTATTGACCAGCCCCTCTCCTTAAGCTATACAGGGCCACCACAGGTGACTTGTTAGCATAACAAAGATGTTCCTAACACTCAGGAAATTCTAAGAGCTTTCGAAGCTCTGTGCCAGGTCCTGGGACAGGGACCACCATCGCAAAGATCATTCTGAAGAATCCAATATACAGGCATGTGGAAATAAGAGTAGCAACAATACCACTAATAAAAAGTGGTCATCATAGCAATGCCTGTTTTTCTTTTCCATGTACCAAGTGCTTTAGGTGGTATATATCATTTAGCCCACACCCTGACCTGCAGGGGTGGGCACTGTCATTCTGTTTCACAAATGAGGAAACTGAGATTTTGAGGATATAGCAGTTGGGAATCTTGAGGTCGTATGTAACAGAATTCCAACTCAAACTGGCTGAGGCAAGATTAAAGGAGTTTATTAGTGCCTTTAACCAAAAAGTTCAGGGCATCGCTTCAGGTACAGCTGTATCCAGGAGCTCAAGTGATGTGCACGATCAGTTCCTTTCCATCCTTGGCTTTCTTTCTCTCTCTGTTGGTTTTATCCTCGGGCAGCCTCTCTCCGACTTCTTACCCCATGCTAACAATACAGCAACATCCCCTTAGGTACCCAGAAGGAAGACAACTTCTCTTTCCAGGAAGTTCTTGCAAAACCCTCACTGCACTGCCTTGGTATGTGCCCACCTCTGGACCCCTTAAGATGGAAGATGGTGGTGCCCAGCCTGTACTGGATCCTGTGTCTTACCTGGACCCAGGAGAGCTGTGCCAGCAACAGCTGATCACTGAGACCCTATGTGGGGGAGGGTTTCCAAGGGACTCCTGGGGGCTATAAATTTGAGGACATCAGGCTGCTGGCAGGCAAAGCCAAGTCTGCCCCCAGTTACCCTCCATCAGACGTGAGGTCTTGTTATAACCATGGTCACATCAAACCCCACAAAGAACAAGCATCCTATCTCCTTGGAGTAATAGCCCGAGTTCTGCCACATTGGGGTGAAAGCATTAGCTCTGCCACTTAGGCATAGCAGCAGAGTGAGTCCCATGTAAGGCCCATCAGCTCAGTGTTATTCTTTCACCACTGTGACTCCAGGAGCCCCATCCGTTCGGTGTAAAAGTGTGAGTTCTGTCTCCACAGGGCAGAATGTGATCCTGTATTGAATTTTTTGTCCACTCTTAGAATGATGTGTGGAAAGTGTATTTGGAAACACTGTTTACAGCACAAACTGTGACTACCACATGCAACTCTTACTAACTCTATAGTAAGTATTCCAGTATGCTCTTTCAGTAAATGGCATTACGTGATAATGCTAAACACAAGATATAAGCATTCTGCACAGTGTTTCTCTTGCGTGTTTCCTCAGGGATTGAAACATATCGGTCTGGAGCACAGCAGGAGCTCTGTCATCTGGGGGAAGAAGCATGAGTCCCCTGGGTAACGCTGTAGGACTGGCTGCTGCAGAGAAAGGCTCTGAGCCTGCTGTTTTAGGCAGTGGTTTTTACCTGGCCTGATTTGCCCTCTTTCCTCCAAGGGACAATGTCTGGAGACATTTTTGGCCGTCATCCCTTGGGTGGGGGTGCTGTTGGGAATCAGTGGGTGAAGCTCAGCACCCTTAATGCTCAGGACAGCATGGAGAGTTCTTAGGCCACAGATGTCAGCAATGCTGTGGGTGCTTTAGGGCCATGGCAGAAGTCCCGCCGCTTGGGACCCTGTGTAGCATGCTGTCTGGCGTGTGTAGGGGTCCTGTGTACCCTGACCCCTCTTTCTCTGCTCTTTCCTCAGCTTGATGTGCACTCCGTGTCTGGGCCCCTGTCCCAAGGTCTGTCACCTCCTGGAAGGCGAGAAGACCATCGACTCCGTGACATCTGCCCAGGAGCTCCGAGGCTGCACCGTCATCAACGGGAGCCTGATCATCAACATCCGAGGGGGCAGTGAGTGCTGGGCGCTGTCCTGCTGGGGTCCTTGTTCCCTGGGAGTGGAGAGGGAAAGTGGTCTGGACGTTGCCGCCTGCTCCTTAGGCGATTTTAACACTGTCCCATTGGAGTGGTTCTCCAATCAGTGAGCCACCGAGCCAGTTGCTCCCAGACCTGAAAATCGCTGTTCCATCGGTCCCACTCCCCCCCGAGATTCTCCTTTTCCACAGTGGTAGCTGGGACATCAGGAATTTGTGTTTTTAACAAGCAGGCAACATTCCCTATTGCAGGTCCGGGGACTGTGTTTCCAGAAATACCCTCACAGGCCAAAGGCAATCCTTTGTTTATTTACTCAGCCAGCATTTATGGAATATTCTCAGTGCACAAGGCAAAGCCTGTCATGATGGGCCTTGCAAACAAGCAGGCCGACTGACGATGTAAACTCAGCGTGGTCCCACCGCGACGGGAAGCGAAGTGCGGTGCTGGGGGGAGTGGGGTGGGCAACCTTTGCTTTTCTTGTTTTTGTTTGTTACCCTCACCTGAGAATACTTTTTCCATTGCTTTTCAAAGAGAGTGGAAGGGAGAGAGAGAGAGAGAGAGAGAGAGAGAGAGAGAAACATCAATGTGAGAGAGACATTGACTGGCTGCCTCCTGACCGTTTGCCTCCCCCACACGCCGCCCCCGCCCCTGAGCCACAGCCCAGGTAAGTGCCCTTGACCGGGATTGAACCCGAGACCCTTTGGTCTGCGGGCCGACGCTCTAACCGCTGAGCCACACCGGCCAGGGCGGGATGGGCAACCTTTTCTCATACAGGGCCATATAATAAATATATTCAGCTTTGCAGGCCAGAGGGTGTCTGTTATAATTACTCAGCTCTGCCCTGCAGAGAACATGTGAACAAATGGGTGTGGCCCTGTGCCAGTAAAACTTTATTTACAAAGCACACTGGGCTTGGCCAGTGGCCTGGAGTCTGCAGACCTCTGGAGCAGAATAAGAGGTTGCTATTTTAGAAGAGTTTCTGGTCAGAGGAGCCATGCTTTGAGTTGGTCATGGGGCAAACCAAGCGCACAGAGGGGAGAGGGCCATTCTGGGCAAGGGGGCAGCCAGGCGAAGCCCTAAGGCAGGCGCCTGTGTGCGTGGTCCTCTGAAGGGCCCTGCGGAGGCCCCGTGTCTGGGGTAGGGGGGCAAGGCAGCAGATGAGAAAAGCAGTGGTTGCTTATTTAGGGACTTGCTGACCCCGTAGTAATGACTTTGGATTGGATTTTAATTAAGTATGATTCCTTTTGGATATCAAAGGATATATCAAAGTCATTTTCAGCTTGTAATTTCACTCCTTACTATGGGAACTTATAGGAAGATTAAAATATTCTGTAACACTCACCGGATATTTTCTTCTTTCCGTAGACAACCTGGCAGCTGAGCTAGAGGCCAACCTTGGCCTCATTGAGGAAATTTCAGGGTATCTGAAAATCCGCCGTTCCTATGCTCTCGTGTCACTTTCCTTCTTCCGGAAGTTACGTCTGATTCAGGGGGACACCTTGGAAATCGGGTATGTGGACCTGATTCTGTGTCTACGACCTGAGCACTAACTAGGAATAGGAAATTTGTGAGTTATAAAAAGTTAGGGGTTTTTGCCAAGACATGGAAATAACCTAAGTATCCCTCAACAGATGAATAGAGAAAATGTGGTGTGTATATTTACATATGCAGGGAATATTATTCAGGCATATGATTCATAACAAAGAGCGAAATGCTGCCATTTGTGACAACAGGGATGGACCTAGAGGGCATTATGCGAAGTGAAATAAGTCAGACAGGGAGACAAGTGCTGTGTGATCTCACTTATATGTAGAATCGAACCCCCCCCCCCAAGATCATAGACACAGAGGCAGGGG